AAACCCCGAGTACTTGCCAGTTTCAGTTCCGATCGGTTATTTTGAACACCCTTATAGTTTATTGTAGTTAGTACATAGCTTGTAAAAATAAAATTGGAAAACACAATATTTGACTTATCTTTTGAGTTTGTTGTCACTATAAATTTGGATTAGTATGATAACAATTGATACATTTGTTTGAGTCTGCTATCGTTGTAGATTTGACCAGTGATTAGAAACTCAAACCATGCAGTGACCCAGCCAAGCCATTAGGTCATGGGTCGAGCAGTTTGACAGATGGGTCAAATCGGTGTCCAAAGGTTTGAATCTAACAAAATCACTCCTGAAAATTACATGTAAGTTCCCACAGGTTTGAAATCTTGCAAAAAGACCTCAAACACCATCGTTGACATTGGCAAATAGGGCTTGTTTCTAGCGATGACAACACTCCCATTACTACAAAAACACTCCGCTCAGCCTCCTAACCAAAACCCATCTCACCCCTCCCCTGTTCCCCTCCCCAATCGCCAGCAACAGTGGGCTTTTTCCGATGAAATTGTTTTGTGATTTCCAGTCGATTCACTCATCGAAAATCGGCATCGTTGCCACCATTCCACTCATTGACCATTCCTCTTCAAAAGCCCTAACATTCTAGCCTTCAATTGTTCACGGATTGATGTATTAATTTCTAGGGTTTTGGATGAACAGAAAAATTTGTAACGCAATCCGGTAAAGGCAGCGGGTCACGATTGAACGAATTCAACCAATCGGGCCGAGCCAGGTTCCTAATCATTAGATTTTACATTAGTATAACAATAATTGACATATCTGTCTGAGACCCTAAGTTCCGCTGTCACTATAGATTTGAATTAGCACAGCACCACATTTGACATCTCTATTCGAGTTTTACCGTCATTGTAGATTTGAATTAGTACATTGGTTGTAATGAACAATTTGTGGTTTGAACGCTTCAAAACGATACAAACTTCGAGTGTAATGTTGACATCATTTAAAAAACTCAACTATCTAACCAGCTGGGTAATCATTATAGTCACCCAAACTTCTTATGAACACAATTCTCATGTGTATGCTAATTTGTCATTGTAAGGTATTAATGCGTATGATTATCTTGTCTACTACTTAATACATATAGTATAATCGAGTACAATTTGAAAGAAATATAGCATGCTAAACATCGCTTAAGAGAGGTAAAACTTAAAAACAAGATTAATTTTAAGAGTCAATAAAGGTGATCCTTGACCCAATGACCCTAAGGCAAAAACCATGACGGCCAATGACCATTTTGGCTTGGCAATATTGCTCTGATCCTACATGGTAAGAGTCGAACAAAATTCATATGTGATTATTCACTATTCATATAAATGAAATGCGTGCCTGATACTGTTTTTCAAGTTTTTGGGAAATGAATTTAACAAATAAAACAAAAATAAATAAATTATGTGTTAAGATATGAAAATTCGTTAATTTAATATATTTCTTTAAAATATAAATTCTAAAAATGAGAATAAAGAGCATAAATATTCTCTTTTAGATTTCTTTATTAAGATTAAAGAGAGTTCTTTTTTTTTTTTTTTTGGATTCTTAAAAATACGTTTTTTGTTATTTTTTAATTAAAAAATTTAACAAAGAAATTGATTAAAAATGACATAATGAACTAATAATTTCGACAATGTTTTATTACTAAAAAGATAGGATTATCAGTAAGATAGATAACCTTAAAGATTAATAGATATAAATTATTATTGTGTTTAATTCGTGTGGGCTAATAAATGATTAATGTGTTTAGTTAATAGTAATTGCAAAATACTTAGATATTATTTTACTGAAATATCTTTTACAAGATTATATGTATATAGATAGATAAATAGATAGACACAGTAATTACAAAACATATTATTTTATTGAAATATCCTTTACAAGATTATATCTATCTATCCAACTATATATCTATCTATAGGGCATTTTTGTCCAAATAATTAATTAATGAGGTTAAAGAAATCATTCAATAAGTTTGATTAATTGTTATTTAATATCAATAGAAGGGCATTTATGTTTAAAACTTTTATTAGGTCAAGGTAAAATTTGAATACAAATAGGATTATTACATAATCTTAAAATAAGATTAAAAGATAAATTATAGGAATAATCTTACCAAATGCCACCTAAATATAATATTCTCATTTAGTTAACCGGATGGCTTTGTAAAGGTCAAAGAAAAGAAAGAATGATGACTTCGAAATCTAATATGGTAAGATGTGTCAAGACTTGAGAGCATGAATCCCAAGAATTAGCAAATTTGGCCCCTGAAATTTGGGAACGGCCTAAATTTGACGAAAGTTCAACGGAATGAATATTAATTAATTAAAAAACTCTCCACCGCAGTCTATGCTTAAATTCTAATTCTCAATTAACAGAACATCACTTTCAACTTCTCCCCGCAAATCACGGCTGAAGAAAAGCCGACGTAATCTAAATATTTTTTTTTTACTTCCTCCACAAGAAACAAAATTCACTGTTTTAATATAACCACCATGGTCTTAGTTCCTCACATTAACTTTGTATCTTTTAAAATTAAATATAATAATTACACTAAAACGTTCTCACATACATTAATTCTTCCTAAAAAGGGTTTTTCATAAATAAATTAAAAAAAAAAAAAGCATTTTTCATCAATTTATCATGTAAATTTCATAATTTATTTATATAGAAAACAATCATTTACTTCAATTTTATGTAGTGAATTTATGAAGAAATATATGTTATTTCATGACAAAATTAAGCCTGATATATTATTGCATAAAGAAAATGAGATATTCAAAAGTAAAAGTAGTTACAAAGCCAGCAACTTTGCTTTCATCTTCAAACCTCTAAGAATGAAGAAAAATGTGAAAATTCAATTATAAAGTATACATGCTTTCCTTGACTATTTCTCTTCTAAACGTTGATCACAGTTCCGAAGAAAAGTAGCTTTCGCTAAACCATAAATGGCTATGGCTCCATCAATATATGTCGTGTTCAATTTTCTTCACCACCATCCAACACGTTTACGGTAGAAATATGATTAAAAGAAGACTAGACCACAACTTCTAACAATTTCGAAGACTTTTGAGAGTCGTATTAAGTTCAACTTACAATTTTTATAATCTAATCAATAATAATTCATTAAGAAAACACACAAAAAACAAAAAAAAAAAAAGGAGAGAATCTACATTTTATATGTTTATGAGTAATCTAATAATATAATTTTCAAAAATTAGAATGTAACATTAAAAAAATAATAATAACATTATATGTATAAAATTGACCTTCCAATTTTGATCCCAAATAATGTAATGTGTCAACATCTACAATGATGCTCTATATAAAAATAACTTTCATATAGTTATAAAAAATTATGGTCCAACTTAAGTAAGTTATAAATAAGAATAATTTTATATTATAATAAATTATAATTTTTTTAGGTTCTGTCTTAAGAAACTTTCCTCCTATAATAATAATTATATGTATATTGCCAAAAATATATGTTATATAACATTAAAAGTTTAAGATAAAATAAAATATTTATCTAAAATTATTTGAGACAATGATTTATATTTTAGAGTTGTTAACACATCTTTGAACTTGCAGGTGAAACCAAAATATTTATGGGTTTTCAAGCATATTTAAAGCTTTTTGACATGAGAAATGTCAATTTTTGAAGTAAAAAAACTGAAAAAATGTGTTTCATATAAGTAATTAAAAACTTTAGAATGTATGAGTAGGATGTTATTGAGAAAAATGAAAATAATTTAATTTATTTGGGTTCATATGTTATGTAGTTGTAAATATTCATTTCTAGATGTCTCATCCAACTACCATTCTGTTGGTACGTATTTCTTTGTGTCGTGAAAAATAATATTTGTAAACTTTTTAGAAACATACAAATTTTCAAACTACCATGTGCTTAGTAATGTTACTCATAAAATCTGGTCCCTGTCCAAGTCTAGTATAAATGAGATTTTATCCTAAGACCTGTTGTACAATTGTGAGATCCAATTAATAGAATTAGTTGATGCCATTCTAATAATTTAATTGACATGGAAAGCATAGTATTCAATAATAATATTGATCCCTAGCTAATTATATTATAGATATATTAATTAATGTTCCAAAACTATGGAGGTTATTTCACATATATAAAATGTATATGGTTTCGATATTATTAAAGGTAAGGTTCAACAAATTATATAATTGCATGTAGAAAATTAGAAAACAGCACTAAAATTGTTATTATGAATTTGAATTTGACTTGTGTCAGAACTCAAAACCTTAAGAATTTCATTATTTCGTCAAACTTTCCTGGAACCCTTCATTGAACCAAAAACTAGAGCCTTCTGTTTGAATTGAAATAATATCAGTGAGGGACAAAACTTGAGTCTACGGCAGCTTAAGAAATTAATAATGAAAAGTCGGCAACGTCATTCAACATTGCTCCATCAACCGTAATCAGCGGCATAACGAAAACAACATTTGTCATCTTTTTAATGGTGCAGCACCAATGAATAATTAATTCATAATATATTTCCGATTTTCATTTATCTAAGTTAAATTTTCGTTGGTCCAGCGGTAGTACTGTAATAGAACCCTATTTGGAAACCGAAAATTAAGCAGCACTTAGAGAATATTTTTATGATGAACGAACTGAAAAGTGAACGTGCATGTTAATTTTATCAAACACGAGGTGCATGAAAAAACCAGGCAGTCGGCATTGATAGCGCGAGACATATTGACTGAGTGCTAAATTATGACTTATTTTGAAGAGAAACTCAAACCTACCAACCGCTTGCCTTGGCCCTAATTTGTGATCGTGGGGTCTGCAAATGGACCATACCTTCACTAACGTCTAAAGTATGAAATCGCCAATCACCATTCAGCATGTTGCCACAAAGTCCATTACAATATTTGATTTTTCTATGCTACAGTGTGCATTGCAATAATATAAATCCCCCTTCTCACCCATCCATGAATCTTCACCCACACATTCCAAGCACACAGTACTTGCAGCTGCCAACTTTCGATACCTTCGATTTACCAAAATTTGCCTTCGTCCTTCATTCTACAACTGTTATCATGGCATCTAATTTGGGCTTCAAGACATTGGCAGTCGTCCTTGCAGTTACCTTCTTTGTGCAAGGAACTCTCGGTAAGCTTTTTCTTCACTAAAGTAATACAATTGGGTCGTTCATTTATAGAATAGTGGACATGCATGTGAACAAAACAGTTTTATGAATAAGTGTTGATGATATTTTTGCAGGAGAAATAACATGTGAAAACCTTGACCAAGAGACATGTGCGTATGCGGTATCATCGTCGGGCAACCGCTGTGTGCTAGAGAAGCGTGTGAAAAGGAGCGGGGAGGAAGCTTACACGTGCGGAACATCTGAAATTAAGGCCGACAAATCAAACAACCACATTGAAACTGACAAGTGCATTTCTGACTGTGGCCTTGACAGAAAAGTTCTCGGCATCTCTTCCGACTCCCTCCTCGAATCTAAGTTCACACAAAAACTCTGCTCCTCTCAGTGCTACGATAACTGTCCCAACATCGTCGATCTTTACTTCAACCTTGCTGCTGGTGAAGGTATGTAACATTCATTAACACTTTCATCAAAATTATTATCATTATGTTCTATATAACTAATTAACGTAATTTTGAACTATTTAAATGTCAGGTGTGTTTCTTCCCAAATTGTGTGAAGCAAGAGGAAAAAATGTAAGAAGAGAAATGTCAGAGATCCGAAGCTCTGGTTTCACTGCAGCAGGACCCGCCCAAGCTGTGAAATTCTTGTCTGATCCAGTTCTGGCTCCTGCAGCTGCACCTCGTGTTTGATTTGATAGTTACATAGACAATGGAATATTTTTATATATTATATACCTATGTAATTTTAATATTTTATAATAAATGGTGTTGTAGCAAGAGTTTAGCAGAAAAGCTTGAGTGCAACTCCATTAACTTTAAGATTTTGTCCGTGTTGTGTATGCAAGTCATGAGCTGAAATGGGCGCTGAGATCGATCAATAACTCAACAGAGATCTGTAGAAGTGACCAGCTATCGAGCTCCAATTTTCATTTGTTTTTTACAAAGTTGCATAGTATACTGTGCCATAGTTATCTTTGTGACTTTGTTTGCTTTGTTCATGTGATCGGCATGCAAAACTAAATTAATAAAAATTTAAACATGATGCTTCCATTCTTAATGTACATGTTTTCTTAGTGTTTAATTAATATCAAATTACCCAGTGGCCAAAATCCATATTAGGGAAAAGAAAAGTAACTTATACAGCCAAGTTATTTCATTGAAATATTGACCCTAATAATTGTGTAGAATTCTCCTACCCACTCATTACAGAACAGAGAAATTAAGGTATTGCGTTCTAGATGGATCTAGTTCATGGACCGTAATACAAATACATTTCTCAAACAGAGTGATGATCCCAAAATTTTCAGTTTTGTTCTTAGAAAGAAACAAATTGGGTAGTTGGAGTAGGAGCTTTAACTAGTTCCAAGCATCAATTGGAATAATAAAATTAGAGCCTTAAGTTAATAATTAGTAATTTTGTGTCACATTAGATCAGCATATTTTTTCATTAAGTTTCAGGATTAACGTTCAATAGATGTTCAAATATTTTTATATCTACTTCCATCTCAAATACTTTTAAAGAATGTTGCATCATTATGAAGCATCCACGAAACACACATTCTTTTTGTTCAATGAATTTCCAACCACCACCAACCCAATACATTTTTTTTTTTTTTTTTCTAAAATCATAAAACCAAATCAAATGATTAATAGTTTTAGGTCGAGGAGCACTCTGCTGTCTTACTTTTCTCTCTTTTTAAGCGTTCTCATTACCTTTTCTCTGTCATGCTGAAATTTCAATCGGTTAAATATTATAAACAATTTCAACCTGTTGAGAATCGTCCATAGGCTTAGCTTAATTTCAACTGTCAATGAGAATGTGTTAGATTCTAGAAGAATCTTCGGTAACTTTTACTATAATGTCAACTGTACTTTTGAATAACAAAGGACTTAATTACGATATGATAATTTAAAATAATTGAAGCAAATTGCGAGTCACCAATTAACAATCTGGCATGCATGTTCGTCGCTAACCGATTCTACAAACTGACTCCACATCCTAACTAACGTGGAGTGCAACGTAGGGAGTCCTGATGCAACTAGTTAGTGTGAAAAACAAATGTTAGAACTCGACTATACATTTAGGGTTGATAACAAGTTTTAATCGTAGAAACTTGTACAAAACTTGAGAAGAAAGTTTTCTTTATTTCTAATAATAGTGTCCTTCTTTAATAAAAAGAGGTCTTTATATAGGCTTCAAGTTTTAAAAGAAATGTCATGGAAAATACAAAATAATAATAATCCAAAATAATTAACTTAAATCCAAAATATGGAAATGGGCTTAATGGGCACATGCCCAAATTAGGATCTTCAAGTAGCACGTTTTTGGGCTTCTAATGCTCAGTCTGCACCAAGAACTTATTTGTTAGACATTCCACGTCAGTCCCCTCCACTTGAGAAAAACTCGACTTCAAGTTAATTTGGACATCCAGATATAAAGGCTCATCCGAATAGTGAAATGGGTAAATATCTGCCACGTTAAATGATTTGGAAATTCTCATTGTGATTAGACCTAGCATAACAGGCGGGTGAGTCGGGTTCAAAAGGGTATGTATCTAAAATGGGTCGATTTAAACGGGTCCAACATGCCCTAACCTATGTAGGTACAGGTGGACCCACAGGTACTCATACTGTTCATAAAAGTTTTCAATTTTGATAGTTACACCCCAAAATTCTTACAGTTTTCATTTTTTATAATTACACCCCCATAATCAACTACTCCAAATTCAATTCAATAAACACAAATACATGGCTACTAACCTAAATGAACAAAGAATATAATGAACAAACAAAACAAAACAAAACATTTAATATAACAAAGTTACTCATTAGAAAAATGAAAATCACTTTGTGGACAAAACTTATTATCATAATCATAACCAAATTCTTTAAATTTAAACCCATCATCAAAAGAATCAAACTTAAACCCACTCCTTCAAGATTTAAACAGAATAACAAGATACAAATCTCAAATTTTGATTAAAATGGAGAAATGGTGTTCTAATTCAGCTAACACGACTTTTCTTCCTAGCAGTTTGAGAAATATTTCACTCATTCTAAAATTCGATTCATTCCTTCTCAGTTCTCCCCCATCATGTCCATTAATAATCCTTGAAGATCCCCCAAACTGTATCCCTTCTAACAAAACAAAATTCTAAAATGTCAGATTCCAAATATCTGCAACAAAGACCATGTCACATATTGTACAAAATAAATGGCAACATGATTAGCAATATCCTTATTGTTTGTTTATGTTAATTAAATATATACCTGTGCATTCACACTTTCCATCATCAAAGTCATTTCTTGTATGAAATCACAAAATCCCTGTTCCACAGCATCCAATAACCATCACAATAACAATCAAAGATCAACTTAATTATTTGAAAAATGAATTATGAAATAAATGAAACTCCCTTCATCCTCATCATCAGCGAGGAGACTCATCATCATCTTTTCTTTCCTTTATCTGATAAAACTAAATGATACACAACACACTTAACCATCATCTACAATCTCCCAAACTCAAATCTAAACAAATTTCATCTTCAATCAAATAAAAAAACCTGGATTTCAAATTGTTGAGGATGTGTTGCGTAGAAGGAGATTTGGGATTGAGAATGGGGACTTAGGTTTTATTGAAATGGGTGTAAACCATTATGGCCGAATCACAGAAATTTTTGTGTGCTTTCAATCTACTCAAGGCAAACTAATGAACACGCAACAATCCATATTTAGCTTGACAGAGTCTTACCTATGCAGTGACGACCGGCGGCGACAACGAATGAGGAAGGCTTGATCGAAGAGAGAAGAGAGAAGAGATGATCTATTGCAGATGGAGAGAGATTTGAGATGGTATTGGTAGGCAAGTGTCGAACGTCGCAATCGATGGTCAAGAGAGAAGAGGCGTTTAGATTGAATTTAAACTTTACCTCAACAGAGAAAGAACAAACACAGCAAGAAGACGCCAACTTCCGGCTGAACTAAGGAACGACGGCGGAATTGGGGAACGATGGCGGAACTGAGGAACAACGGCCGGTGTGGCGTGGGTTAGTTTGTTGAACAGAGAAGGCGAGATCTGAGGAAAATTTATCGGTGTTTTGTGAAATTCTTTTAGGGATTGCGTTTTGTTTGTTTCATTTTAGGATTCTGTTTTATTTTTTTTTAAAATACGGGCACCCGCAGGTAAACCCGTCTCACCCGTTGGCAAAATGGGCCGGGCCGGACCCAATTTTCATGGGTTCACAAGGTTTGATCCGTACTCTATATTATTTACCTGGATATGGCCTGACCCGTAGATTCAGACCCGTTTTACCAGATCTAATTGTGATCGGCAAATCCACAACATATGCATCGTCATTGATCTTCTTCAATATCTGATAAGACCCATACTTCTTAGGCTGCAACTTGCTATAAGTTCCTACAGTAAACCTTTCTTTTTCATAGGAATACCATCACTTGATCTCCAACATAAAAAATTTGTTTTCCGCAATGCTGGTCCGCTGCCTTCTTGGACTTGGCATTTGCTTACTCCAATCTAGAGTTAGTTAAAGACCAGTCCGAAGCAGGCCCAGGCTTAGGCCTATTTGGGACTGGTCCCAAATGGGACCAGTCGCTCACAGACTTAGAATCGGTCCCAGACCCATGAGTAATTCTAGGACCCTGATTCTATGGGCCTAAAAAATTTCTTTCTCCCCCAACCCCGATTTTTTTTTTTATATTTTAGGGGCGAAAAAAAATTTTGTAATGGGTTTTTAGTATTTTTCAGAGGTAAAATTTATAAATTTTTTAGGGTTTGAAGAATTTTTTTTTAATAAATTTTGTAATATTTCCTTTTAACCCCTATAATTTATATTTATTTCAAAACTTATAAGGGGTTTTAGTAATTATACAAAGGACGTTTTGGGACTAGGCCTCCTAGGACCGGTACTTGAGAGGATTGGTCCTAGGACCAGGTTTTTGGGATGGGTTTTTGGACCCAGTCCCAAATGCCCACCTCTACTCCAATCTGTTTTACCTCAGCTTGTACATCCTGCCACTGATTGGCCATATTTTATGCTGCTGTGCACTAGTACCCGGAACTTTAGGCAGCTTGAATAGTCAACCAGTTAGTATTACAGTCAACCAGTTTACTTATACGTCAAATGTTGACACAAGTCTGACGGTAAAGCTATTGTAATCTGATGCCTCATACCTTAACAATACTTACCTAAGAACGATGTCGTCACAAAAGAAGTTTTTGTATATATGGTTTTTCATATTCAAAAAAGACCATAGATCAATCTATTTATGGTATCTATGACTACCATTAGGATACTTATGTAACCCAAGTCCATAAATATTATCGCAATATTGTAATCATTCACTTACCTGTCTTGGTATGGATTTTGAGTAAAGTTAGTGATGTAACCCAGGTCCATAAATATTATCCCAATAGTGTAATCATGGTATTTTTTGTTATTTGCAGTATGTTTATGCTATAATTAAGAAAGAAATAGAGATAGATACAAGAGGTGAAAATGATAAATATAAAATGAAGATTAATAAATTTTAAGGGATAAATACAAAAGATTAAATGAATAATCAAGGGATTTGGTTTGAAATCCTTTTATTATGTTATGTTAAACTTTTTTTTTTCCCGTCGATTATGGTATCAGGGCCTAACTTGAGGACATATTAAATACATATATGATTTTGTTAGAATGTTTATATTATGAATTATAGCTTTATTTATTATGTGGTATATAGTAAAATTTCATAAATGATATCTTACACTGCGTCATTGATCCTTCTATTTTATTGTACTAAAATTATGTGATCAGATTAATCATGTTATTTATTTATTTTTACCGAATGTAGCAATTTACTTATAACTCATATATATGCATGAGATTGACTTTGTTAAAGCATGATTAATTTTCGTTGATACGAAATTTTATACTGACTAAAATGTTGAGACGTAAACAAGTGTCAACCAGAGATACTCGGTTGACCGTAGGGGGAATTGAATAAGATGGGTGCATTATTCTAGAGAATCAGCGAAGATAAATGCGTGTTAGTATTGGAAAAGTAACCCGCCCGCCCGCCCGCCCCGACCCGCGGCGGGTTACTCATTTTGGCGGGTCGGTCCTGACCCGCCCACCAACAAAGGCAGGCCAGGTTAGGCCCGCCAATTTTGGGGGATTAGCTGGCCCAACCCGACCGGCCAACCCTAACCCGCTGGGTTAGACTGCGGGTCGGGTCGGGTTAACCCCCTTTTTTGATTTTTTTTTTCGATTTTATTTTGTTTTGTTTAATTAACTTTTCAAATGAATAATTAACAATTTATAAATGAATAAATGTAATTGTTTTTAGTTAACTTCTTTTCAAATATCAATAATTAAATTAAATTAATTTTTTTTTTAACATATCAAATATTAATTCAATTTTAATACATTAAAATTGTAATATAAGAAAAATTAAATTTATTCATTTATAAAAAAATAAAATAAGAAATTACAATAATTATTGCCTCGTTAAAAATCTCACCAAGAAAAACTCAATAGGACAAAAACTTGGTAAGGAAAAAAGAGTGCAATAATTGACAATTAATTTACAAGTTACAATTTACAAAACAACTAATTTTGGGGTTGACTAGGACCTCCCTCATCCGTATCGTCTATATTACAGAATTGAAATGATTCTATTAAAGTATCGTTGATAACCTCGTATTGATCTTGATGGCGCGACCGTTCCCAATCTCGAAGACATGTGAGGACTTCAATCATTTTTTGTGAAAGTTTAGTCCTCTTTTCATTTAAAATTCTTCCACTTGCACTAAATGTTTGTTCGGATGAGACGGTTGAGACAAGAACAGCAAAAACATCCAAGGCAAGTCTTGATAATACCGGAAAAATACATTTTCTGGTTTTCAAATATTCCAAGACATCAAAGTTGGCTCTTTGTTGTGGATCTATTGGTAACATTTTGGGAGTTTCCAAATATTGTTGAAGTTTGTTACTTTGTGACTGCATGGCGAACAGTAGATTCGTTGTTGTCATTGGTGCTTCTGAAGAGGAGGTTGTGCCTATGCTTCGGGTTCGGTTCCTCTTCGGCCTATTAAATGCACTCCAGGTGTAGAAGCCTTCATTTGTTTCTTCTTATGCAACTTCCCTGTGTATTTCGTGTCTTTGCGGGTTCCCATACATGTTTTCATATTGGAAATATACCTCTGCAAGACAATTTTTTACCTCTCGTATTTGATTGGCAAATGCTACGTTTTGTAAATTTTCAGTTAATGTCTCTAAACCATTTTCTAAACATTCTTGTTTAATTCTAGGATCAAATATAGCACCTAAACAATAAAGAAAATGAATGGGTTTAAAATATTTTTAAAAAAAAATTCCATTGCCTTTATTGGTTCTTTTAAAATTTCATTGTTTTTGTTTTTTGTAAATAACTCTGAAATTTTTATAATTATATGTATTACCAATGGACTAGTAGGATAATACACACCAGAAAGTTGTAAAGTGGATTGGTAAAAATTTTTAAGAAAAGAATGAAATACTTTGCTATTTGCCAATTATTTTCTACCAAATAATGAGGACCTCTATTATTTGCTACAAAATAACTAATTAAATTAGCATAAGGTAAACATGAATCAAGCATTAAATAAGTACTATTTCATCTAACATGCATGTCTAATGCAAAAGTTCTAGGAGACATATTTGATTTTATATAAGCATCTTGAAATTCAGCATTTCTTTTATTACTACCAGTAATCCAAGCTAAACAATCTATAATTCTATCAATATTTTTTTTAATTGTTTTCATACCACTTTTTACAATTAAATTGATAATGTGACATGCACAACGTTGGTAAAAAAACTTTAAATTGTTATAAAAATGATAACTACTTTGAAAAAAATCTATAGCTGTAGTATTAGCACTTGCATTATCTAAAGTTAAACTTATCACTTTAGTAACAATATTATAATCTTCTAAAACTTCAACAATTTTATTATAAATTTGTTGACCACTATGATCTATATCCATTAATCTAAATCCTAATAAAGATTTATTTAATTTACATTCGTTATCAAAATAATGACTAGTCACATAAATATAATCTTGTTTAGCTCTATCACTCTAAATATCAGCAGTTATAGCCACACTAACATGACAAGTATGTATTTTATTTTTTAATTCTAATTTCATTTTCCTAAACAATTTTATTAAATCATTTCTAGTTGCAGTTTTAGAATAACTTTTAAATCCCGGAAAAAATGAATTTTTAATAAATCTTTCAAAATATTTATCTTCAGCCATATTAATAGGTTGATCAGTTGCAGCAATATATAAAGCTAATTGTTCCCTATATACATCAGAATTATAACGCCAAGTAGTACCCATATTAGTTATTTGAGTTTGATTTGTTTCTCTATTTCCATGTTGAGCAATATGTTTATTAGCATGCCTTTTTAAAGTACTAGTACCATTACCTGAATCAACTTTATAAACATTTCCACAATACTTGCATCTTGCTTTCTTCACTTGAACTCCATTTTCTGCCTTGTAAAACTTATTGAAATGCATCCAAACGTCTAATGTGTGTTCGTCGTCGCTTTCGACAGTAGTTGATGAACCCCGCTTCAGCTTGAGATGAAGTTGGATAAGGACGACTTCTAGAACCACCGAGGGCTGTAAGTGTAGCAGCATCGGGACGAATCGGGGGCATATTTTGAGGTGTATCGGATTCTGAAACTGGGAAAGTGGGACTACTTGAATCTCCTCCTACATTCATGCTAGTAAATTCAGCGGGACTGGGACTAGGACTAGGATAATAGTTTCCTTCCTCATTGAAATTGATGAAAGACAAATATCTATCCATTGTAGTTGAAAAAAAAAAATTGATGTAGAAGAAATAAAAAATTAAAGAAGGAGAATTGGAATATGGAAAATTGGAAACATGAATTGAAAATTGCAAAAACTAATAAAAATTAAAATAAGAGCAAATTGATAACAAAGAGAATAAGAGATTAAGAGAATAATTGAGAGATTTCAATAAAGATTAGAGATTAGAGAGAATGGGAGAATTTGAGTTGTGAGAAAATATGAGAGTTTAGGACCAATTTATAGAAAAAATTGGGCAAAGAAA